TTGTTGTTGGTGGTTTGATATCCACTGCTGGATAGCTAATATCCACTGATAGCTAATTTGACCTCTTCCTGTAGTACACCCTCAGCCCCAAAATATTTTTTGACAATAAAATGTGCTTTGTCTTAGAGCTTATGTTAACTCAGTGTTCTTGCCACAAATTATCTGTGAACTAACTAAATTATACCCTTCCTCTTGCCAGACAAAAACTAGGCAGTTTTAAAAGGTAACATCACTTGGCAGGTAATGAGTGCTGTCCTGGAGCCTCAGAAGATGACCTTTTGTTTCTTTTGGCACTGACAGACTGAAGAGAAGAGTGACCTTGGAGCCCAATCTAGACATTGTCATGCATTGTTCTAATTATAAGCCACAAAATTGCCCAATCACTTACATATAGGAAAGATCTCAAATAGCAGCTGTCAGCACTTTCTTTTAAAATCAAAGCATTACACATAGAACAGGTTCTTATCTGACTTAATCTCACTGACAGTTACTGAATCTTGAAGGTTGCTGGGGGTCACCAGTGGCTTCTTTGTGACTGATCTCTGCTGAGTGGCCCAGGGTCTGGCAGATGGAAAGTGACCACCAGCACCTCACTCCCTAAGACTTAAGAACTTCTTATCAGTTTCTGCGTCTATAGAACTAAAACCCCATTCTTTTGGATAGTTTTCCCCAAATGGTTAATAATCAGTGGGGACTCGCTAAGCATTCTGCTGAAATCTGTAAAATAAAGAATGTCCTGGTAAGAGAACATCGTCTTGTTTAGTATGACTTCATCATACTCTGCATGTTTAACATCTACGACTCAAACTGAAATTCCCTTGTGAAGGAAAGAAATGTTAACCAATTTTTCTAGACACTCAATCCTTTGTATTGTTTCTGCATTTGAACTCAATTTAGTGGATCAAATGCCTTAGTCAGGTCCATTAATGCAGCATACAATTTACAGTGCTGTTGTTAGTGTTTCCCTAAACCACCTTGTAGTGTAGTTGTTGAGATTTCCGCCTCTGCAGTCAGATTGCCTGGGTCCAGCACCTGCACTACAACTTTCTAGGTGTGTGATTTGAGCAAGTTACTTAACCTCTCTGAGTTCCATTTTTCCTCATCTGTGAAATGGGAATAATCATGGTACTTTACTGTGTAGTCCTTAAAGGACTAAATGAGATAATATGTGACATGTGCTCAGAGCAGTGTCTAGCACATAATAACTGTGCAGTTTTTTCCAGGGAAGAATACTATAACTTCAGTTAGGGCATATTTGATTGCTGGAAACAAAAAGCTGTGATAGCTTATTATTATTAATAATAAGGCCACACAAATAATCTCATGGGTACCTGATGAAGCTGGGGTGTGGGAACCAGGGCTGAAAGTCAGCACCTCTGTGGCACCTCCCTCCATCTCTCTTGGATCATATGCTTTCCTCTGCCCGTGGGCCCTCCTCTTCTGAGTCCTGCAGATCATCTTTCTTGTTATTATCACTATGCACGTGTCTAGAAACTCCTTCCACCAGTTGTATAAGTTATCAGATCAAGCAGTCCGAATCTTGTGACTCGGCTTCACAGTGTCCCACTCCCAAGTGTCTAGGAGAGGGATATCTAGCCAGGCTGGGCCAGAGGAGATGAGGCCATGTGGTAAGTAATGTGGCTCTTTCCCAAGGTTGCTGGTTCTCTCAGAAGGTGGGGTAATGGAGGGGGCAGGGGTGACAGTAACTGGTCACTCTAGGATAATCTTGGTGTTGAAGTTCAAGGCTGATTAAAGGTGCCTTTATTTGAGCACTCCCCCATCATTTCAATATTATTGAAGGATGATATACGTATAGAAAAGGGCAGATAGGGTATGTGAACAGCTGGATGAATTTTGACAATCTGAACACGCATGAGTACCCGGTGTCTAGCACAGGAGACGGCATTACCAGCCCACTTAGCTGCTCTGCTCTCCTCCAGTGGATTCTTTGAGGTGGAATTCCTTAGTTTTGCCTCTTTCTTACTTCACATGGAGGCAGTCATATGCTGAACTCTTGTTTTGGGTCTGGCTTCTTTTTGCTTTGCCTTGTGAGTTTCAGCAGCATTGCTGTGTGGGTTTGTAGAGCATTAATTTTTGTTGCTCTGAAGTAGTCGGTTGTGTGAAAGAACCATATTTTATCTGGTCTATTGCCGATGGTCATTTGGGTAGTTTTCTGTTCTTGTCCTCCTAGTGGACTTTGTTGAACATGAACACATCACTGTTGACTGTTTACCACCAGAGACTCATACAAGGTGTGGGAATTGCCTTCCATCTCATGTGATAGAATTGCTGGTCTCTTGCAGAACAATACTGTTTTGCTTCTTATTTTGTGGCTTCTCTTTTTATATGGTGACTTTCATGTTGTAAGGGCAGGGCACGTTGCAAACATTTTTTTGTGTGTGAAAGAACCTTGGGTACATTTCCATAGGTGCTCAACTGTCTGGGAACAATCCCTATTTCAGGCAAGGCCTCAGCTAGCCTGCTGCTTAGTCAAAGGGGATTGATTGATCTAGGGGTGGACACATTACCCAGACTGGACCCATCATATCTATTTTAGGAGTCAAAGATAATGCCAGGTTTGGAGTTTCTGTTTTAGGAATAGTAGGGCTAACATTATAAACAAGGACATTCCAGGAGAGCCAGGGGATAGGGATGAATCTGAGTTCAGTGGGGGATATGTTAAGTTTACTGTTCTGGTGAAGGACGTGGGGTTAAGAGTTGGCAGGACTAAGAGTCCACTGTGCTTTGCATGCACTCTGCAGTCTTGGGCACCTAATTTATTTAGCCTCTTAAAGTTTCAGTTCCCTCTCCATAGGCTGGCACCTCCCAGTAAGATTAAAACAAGACAGTGCATATAAAGGGTGTAGCTTATTGCCTGGCAATTAAGTATTCATAAAGTTTGCACTAATAGGATGATGGTGCTGTGATGGTATCTAGAGGGCCACTGGAAAACAGGGACTGGAGTGCTGAAGCAAGAGACCTGCGACAGGTGGAAACCATGCATAGCATCTGGCTGGAGGGGCAAGAATAGGGTGTGGAGAGGAACAAATGGCAGCCCAAGTCATGTTGTTGTGGACACAGCTTTTAGAAGAAGGAACAGGCGCTGGAGAAGGAGACTGAGGAGCTGCTTGAGAGGAAGGGGGAGGAGTAGGGGAGTGAGCCCCACAGGAGCCTGAGGAGGAGGGGTGCTGGACAGCATCCAGGGCACCAGTGAATCTGTGGGCTCCCCAAGTTTCAGGTGAATGTCCTTTATCTTCCTTAAGCTTGGCCACGGTAAAATCAAATAAGTCAGTGGTACAAATAAGTCAGCAATGTGTTAAGTTACTCAAATGTACACGATGACTGAGTTCTTCAGGTGGCAGGTATCTGCACGTCCACTCTCACCAGTGGAGATGAACCAACACCAACAACACCTGGAAATTCTTCCCCTGACTCCTGTCCTGTCTCCTCCCACACTGCCAGGCTCCTTCCTGCTGCTGCCACCCACCTCTGGAGGAAAGCCAAGTAGATCACCTGTAAACCAAACCAAACCAAAAAAGAGAGAGAACAAAAAGAGACAGTTGGTATTACATGGCCAGTAGTTTTCCCATTTTCTTTTTCTGGAATGCTTCTGGTTTTGCACTTTGTTTCCTCTTCTGACTTTCCTCAACAAAATTGGTCAATGCTCCATGTTTGTACACGTATGATAGTGGTGGGACTTTAAACGAGTATGTCTGCATGTAATAATAAAAGGGAAAGGAGAGGAAGAGGCAGGTGCTAGGAGAAAAAGAAAATAGGAAAGGGGAGAGTAAAAAGACATCAGGAGAGCAGCAGAAAGGAGCAGGAAGAGGAGGGGCTGATTTGGGGAGGGAGGGGTGAGGAGGGCGCTCTGGGAAAGGGGTTGCCAGGGGTTTTTCAAGTTTCCTTTTGCAAATGGAATCCTAACTCAGCCGTTCCCTGTGGGAATCAAATCTGTCTTTCCTGTTTTCTCAGCCTTCCAGCTAAGTATTGGGACTGGGCTCCACTAAGAGGGAGTGGATGGGGTCTGCAGCAGCTGCTGAGCAGTCTAAAGGGTGCAGTTCTCCTGAAAGAAACAGACCACCCAAGGGCAGGGAGAAGAGCCAACCTGGCCGGGTGTGCCTGGGCTTCCCTGGAAATAGTTTTAATCCCCAAAGGACAGGGCTTCTATCTTTTTAAAAAATGTTGAAGCAAACTTGATCTTAGATTATACGTCAATTATAGATTTTAAAAGATGGTTTTAATTCATCCTGAATTAACAATGGTGACAGGTCTCCCTTTTAGGACTGGTGGAACACCCTCCACCATTCCTTCAGTTGTCCACGGGGTGCTTTGTCCCCATCTCCAAATGTGTACGTAACAGCAGTGTTCCTGGGGGTAGCCACGGTGCACTTTTCGGCTTACAGGGGTTGGCTCTTGAGTTCTTAAACCGTATCTTTTTTATCCTTTTAACCGCACAGTGATGAACCTGCTGTTTTTGCAAAGCCCTGGGATTTTGGCTAAATATCCGCGCAGTTCGGCCTTCCTTGTTCCATATTCGAAGCGTTTCTAAAGCGCGGGCCACGCTGGGCACGGCCTCCTGGTTCAGGAAGGCCTTCTGCCCGGGTGGGTTTATTTTTAGTCGGGGGTGGGTGACGTGAATTTCTCCCGACCCTGCTGCAGCTCCACAGGCCGCCCGCGCCCTCGGCGGAGCGGCTCGGGACCAGCCGGGCGACTAGCGCAGGACGCAGATCCTGGGCGGGCCCCTCCCCCTCCCTGCCCGCGTGCCCCCCACGCCTCCCACAATCCCCGGCGCCGGCCTCGCGCCCCTGACCCAGCGAGCCCAGTGCGGGGCGGGCGGCCTCGGCGGCCTTCGGACGCCGCCGGAAAGTGGCGAACGCCGCTTCGGCCATTTCCGGCCCGGCAAGCTTCGGCAAGTTCCGCAGTCGCCTGTCGGAAATGGCTGCCCGCCGGCAGAGGGAGCGGGGGATCCGGCGCGGCCTGGGAGGCGCGCGGCTGGCCGCCGGAGCGACTTCTGGGAAGCCGAGTTTCGCGCAGGCGGCGGCGGCTCGTCCCTGACCTGGAAGCCGGTAGGAGTTCGGGCGGCTGGGAGCCCCGGGAGCGGAGGGAGCGCGCGGAAGGGCTGGGGGAGGCCGTGGAGCTGGCCACGAGCGCGGGGGAAGAGGGTGCGTGGGCAGGACCTGGGCCGGCCAAGCCTGGAGCCAGCTGCCCGGGCGGCTCAAGGCGTGCAGCTGCGGAGCAGGCCTGCTCCGCGCCTGGGGGCCTGGGCAGCGGCCAGAGGAGGACCCGCGGGTGGCCTGAGTTGGAAGCCTGGCCTCCCCACCCCCGCACGCCCCCACCTCGGGTTCCGTTGCTCGGGTCCCACCTCCAGTCCTTCTGGACGCTCGCCAACAGCTGTCCAGCATCACGTGCTAGCTGAAGCCCACCGCCCGCGGTGTCGGTCCGGCTGCTCGCAGGGAGCATCTTCTGTGCACGGGGCGCAACCGGGCCGCCCTTCACCCATTCTCCCCATGCACACTCCCACCTCTCCCCGGCCCTGCCCCACACACAGCCGAGCTGCCTGCGGCTGCCTTTCCTGGGCTCTGTTTACTGGGCTGCTCTCCTTTCCTGATACCCACTTCCTGTCCGAGGCTCCAGGTGCAGCGTTCTTTGCATCTGCAGAGGCTCTGGCGGCTTCGGCTGCACAGCAGGACAGGGCTGCTGAGTACATGCCTGCGCACTGGCCCGCGCTGCAGGCGAAAGCCCCGGCCCAAGCCCTTGGAGACCACGCAGGGCTGCCCGCTGCAGCGGAGCGCTGCTTTCTCCCTGCCACATTTGAGCCAGCTGCTGGCTCAGCTCCTTTGGATGCCTATGGCTCTCAGCAGGCTGAAATTTGGTGGGCTCCCCTGGGCTCCTCCTCGCAGTCTGGAGGTCCTCTTAGTTAGACTCCTTTAGTGGAGAAGGAAACGAAAAACACCACTAGTCCGGTTTTTTTCTTACCCATATGTGATTTATTTAGGAGGCATCTTAAGCACTTCTCGTTACTTTGTCCCATTCTTCCTCCAATTTAGATAGCTTTTGGAGGAGGGACACCCTATGTTCTGATTTTGAAAACTCTACAGTGTGTTGCAGTCATGTGGATGGTGCGCAGTTTTCTGTGTTGCTCAACAGTTAGCCTTGCACTCCAATGCCACACGGTCCTAGAGCCTGGGACAGTGGCGCATGGGGTGTTCGACTTGAGTGAAGCCAGGCGTTGTTCTCAACTTATTTAGCAGGGGGAGTTTTAAATATTTACAGATGAAAGAAAAAGCTATTTTCTTAAACTCTTATTTGTTGTGTTAAAAATACCTTATCCTGTAGGAATTCCCTGATCCTTGGCTGTGGAGAGCCTGAGGACTTGTTAATATCTTGAGTGTGAGAAGATGTTTTCTGGAAGAAAGCTAGAATTGTGGATCTTCAAAGTTCCCCAAAGAGTGTATATTTAACAAAGGAAGATGTGAGGGGCATACCTTACAGTGTGCTTGACAAGCCTTTCCCTTCATTCCCCACCTCTCACTTTCCTACAGATAGTGGGGGCTGTTATTAAATATTTGGTCTCATAAGCAAAAAGACTTCAGTGAACAGGTGAGAGGAAGAAATGGCCTTTCTGAGAGGAGACCCTCCCAAGGATGACTGGAAGCCCTCAGAAGAAAGTTTGTGCTAGAGAAAGTGGTGTCCTTAGGCACCAGTCAGTGGTCCCGTGGAAGGCACTGAGGTAGGTGGTGCAGCAGTGAGGTGGTGGTCCTTGTCCCCCTGGAACTGTGACTGGTTTTCTGGAGGAGGGTTGAAGGCTTTGCTTGAGGGGGAGACAGGTATTTGGAGAGAATTTGTGTCTTTGCATACAGTTGGTTCAGAGTGAAGGAAGGAATATAAGCCAGGGAACTTTAACGAAGTCCTAAAACTGCCCACTGATTTCTGCTGGAAATCAAGTGTAGGTCAGAAAAGTTCTGTTAACATATTTCCTTCCATTTGAATTTTGTTTCCTCTTAATTTTTGGCAATTGTTTCTTTTGAAAACCTTTGATGATGGGGCAGCTAAACCAAGAAGAAAGGATTTTTCATGTGTTGTAGGTCCCATGAAAATAGCAAAGCTCAGGCAGATGGAATTGAGATGCTCAGGAGAATAGGTGGGCTTGGCTGTAAGTCATTGTGATCTTTTCCTGCCTGAACCCCTCACACACTCGTACATTCCCAGTCTTTCAGGGTCTTGGGTGGTAAATTAGTTGGAAGAGAAATGGGATCTATAAAATCTGTAATCTTGCAAGTAGAAGAGGAATAAGAGGAGACTCATTTAGAAACATACCTCTCCTATACCTTGGCCATAATATACAATAGCTATTGCTCAGAGGCATCCAAATGACCTATTAAAAACCCCCGGATGGAGATAGAGAGATGAACCATAGTCTATTAAGAGTGAAAGTAGCATATGCATAATATATAGCAGAGCCTGATATATACAGTAATAACCTACCTGAAATCCATAGCTGAATGAGCAAGGCTATCTTCCTCTGAAACCACTAAGAAAAAACAGGCAGTGGCTGTAGCTTGCCGGTGCCTGCCCTAGAATAGCACCCCTCACACACATACCAGACTTGGTGTATTCCTCAGTTTGACTGGTCTGGTGTTTTAGATGGGTCAGTGGTGTTAACGATTAACATCCTGGATGTTTGCTTTGTTTGTCCTTTTCCCTCTGATGCTTTCCTCTCACCCTGTCATCATTTGAGCCCTCCAGTTTCCTTTTTTTCCCCTTGGTACCAGGGATAAAACCCAGAGGCACTTGAACACTGAGCCACATCCCCAGCCCTTATTGTTTAAAAAATTTTTTAAAGTTGTAGATGGACACACATCTTTCTTTTATTTATTTTTATGTGGTGCTGAGGATTAAACACAGTGCTAGGCAAGCACCCTACCACTGAGCTACAACCACAGCCCTTTTATTTTTTATTTTTTATTTTGAGACAGGATCTCCTAAAGTTGCTTAGGGCCTCACTAAATTGCTGAGGCTGGCTTTGAACTTGTGATGCTCCTGCCTCAGCCTCCTGAGTGATGGGATTACAGGTGTGCACCACTGCACCTGGCTCCAATTTACTTTTTTTTATTTTATTTTTATGTTTATAACATATGGTTTATTATGTAAATTTAAAACATAAATAACGTGGGCTGGGGATGTGGCTCAAGTGGCAGCGTGCTCGCCTGGCATGCTGGGGCCCTGGGTTCGATCCTCAGCACCACATAAATGTAAAATAAAGATGTTGTGTCCACAAAAAACTAAACTAAAATAAAATAAAATAAATTCTCTCTCTTAAAAAAACATATATAATATAAAGTGAGTAGTAGAATATATGGATCTAATTTACTTTTAAACAATTTTCAACAAATACTTGATATTCTAAAGGAAAAAAAATAGGTTGGGAATATACCCTTAACATGAGTAATAAGAGATAAGACATGTATGATATAAATACATTATGATGGTAGATTATGATAATATCCTCAATTACTGTTCTTTGACATCCTATAGTCCTTGAACATATTTTTTCTTGCACAGATTTTGATCTGTAAAATCCCTGAAAGATAGGCCAAACTTAAACATATTTCTTTTTTCAAGGGGAAAAGGTAGGTGGGAAAGAAAATTGAGTCTTGGGAGGATTAGGGTATTTGGCCAAGGTCAGATGTAGTAAATGGCAGACTTCATGAACTGGCCAATAATATTTACCTGCCTGTGCCTAGCTAAATTCTTTCAGTGATGTCACCTTTCTTGGGCAGCCCATTCCAATTTATAGACCAGGTTCTTGGAGACTTTTCCTGTGGTTTGCTTCCCTATGAATGTCACACAGAACAAAAGTGTTTCTATTCCCTGTGGCTGTTCAAGATAGCCACCGTGTTTCACCATGACACAAGTTGCAAACTAGCATACCTGAATCAAATAAGGCCAACCCTGTTTACACAAAAGCTTCAATTGTAAGTCAACTTTTAGAAATGGGGAGATTGCATATAAAAAAAAAATTACTATTTTTATTTTCTTTGAGAAAAAGAATTTCGTTGTACACAGCTCACATTTCTGATGTTGAACAGACTCTTCATTTTGCTAAGTGCCTACTGGCCAACTTTACTTGGCTCCCAGGACCTCCATAGTTGTTGAGGTTGCTGTCTGTTCATAGGTTCTCTATTCCCCACGCTAAGTACTCCCCTTTCTGTCAGCTGTTTCTGCTCTCCATTTACTGTATTAATGGCCCTCTTAAAGTGTGTCTCTCAGTGCAGGATACAGTGTTCAGTATTCAGTGCTGGCTGACAGTAACCTTCATTCCTTCTCTTCAACACTGTTTAAGATAAAATAAAAGGCAAAATAAAAATCAAGGTGGTAGGTTTTTTTTCTAAACAGTCCTATACACTTGACTCACTGAAGTCCTAGCCAACTAAATCACAGTTGTGTTTGCGGACATGTGCTACTGTTAGGCCAAATCATTTCCATGTAGTTTTGAGATCTAAGTGCTGAACCTTGTCTTTATCTCTATTAAATTCCACTGTGTAGAATTCCGGACTGATAAAAAGTTCTTTTGTGTTCTGGGTTTTCTCCTAATCTCCACTTACTCCTCCCAGCACGACTTCCTTTATTTCTGGAGCTGTGAAGTGTATGAGCACTTTGTCTTTGAATGGAGAAGATAGTTGATAAGGTCCTAAACCATTATTAATGGATTCATAGGAAGGTTGGGAGCAGAGCTCTAAGAAAAGCATTGTGCTTGAGATTTTGGAAAGGAAATAAGGAGGAGATCTTGGGCATAATAGCCTTGCTGCCTTGAGTTGATGTGTTGGTGGCTCTCCCCTCACCCCATAAAACAAACATACGTGTGTTTTCTGGTTTCCAGGCAGTAATAAGTCAGGTCCTCGAATCTGAAAGCATTTGAGGTCATCCAATCTAACTCTTTAATTTACAAGTTCAAAAAAGACCTTGAGTCAAGAAAACAAGGAATTTGAAATTAGGAGCCCTGGTGAATCAGAAAGATGGGATAATAAAGCCATGGGAAAACTTGAGTCTCAGGGTGGATTCACCT